AATGCTCGCGAAGAATCTAATGTAATAATATACTACAAGGCGAGTAGAACTTGAGAGACTTTTATACGAATAAGCTTTTAAGCCTACTCAGAGAACTTTTTTGCTTGCTTTCAATTTTAAAATAAATGGTACATTTTCTCGTCAATCGATTAACCTGCTGATACCCTCCTGCTGATTGTCGTTTGCTTTGCAAGTTTATAAATACCAAAACGACTATTCGAATCTTTACGGTTTTAACACTATTATAATTTTTTTTTTGTTCGTAACAATGCTTTTATTGAAGCTTTATAAGCTATATATTTCTTTTTATATTAGAAAAAAAATTATATACCAGAAAAAGGACGCACACAACAAAACTAAATTTAACGAAGAATAAAATAAATAAAAATTTTAGTAGTACATACTACAGTAAAAATAAAATCAACACATAAATGTTATGCCGTAAAATAAAACGAACAAAAAATCAATAAGATTTAAAACAGAACGAAATGATATTTTATTTTACGCCCTATTATCGGTAAACTAGGTGAGCATTATGCTGTGCCGGAAGTCAAAACCACAACCAACGTAGGTATCGGAATACTTTCTAAGATTACGCGCAGTTCCGGATGGTCTCACATTCTTGAAAATTTTCCCAGGTATAACTAAATGGTCTATGACCAAAGCACTCTCAAAGAGGAGCTTATAATAGGCCATTTTCTTATTTATCACAAGCCCGCTACCGTCTGTCAGACAAGTTAGCGAAATACCATTTTTAAATCGATGAAAAGTAGATTCCTTTTCAACGCGAATATAAAACATATTAAAATAAAATATTTTACGGATTTTATCGAGTTTTAATTTTGAATTCCGTCACCGGAACGCTGGAAAGGGTTCGAAAATTCGGGATTTGATATTAAAACGGGATAAAACCCGTAAATTAGTTTAAAGTGAGTTTGCAGCTAGACCGAGAAAGTGCTACAGCACAAACGTACAATTTTTTTCTTCTTTTTATAAAAAAACACTGCCCTTACTTTGGGATAGCATTATCCTGTGTTGTAAGGAGGTTTTTACAAACATATACTTCACGTGGACAAACACCCAGGAACAACTATCTGTGGGTCACACAAATAGTTGTCCCGTGTGGGAATCGAACCCACGACCCCCGACGCCGAAGCCTTGACCACTGCGCCACGGAGTAAAAATTAAAATTATTTACACTTCAGCGTTTCGTCTATTGAGTGAGGTATCTTGAGATTATATTTTGTTGTTATCGACACGCCTGCAACATTTCGGGCCTTGAGGTCAAGGATTAGGGCAGCGTAACATTTTTTCGCGTGTAAAATTGAATAATACTTTCCAGCAACACTTGTTTTTGTCAGTTTCGTTCAACACTTTTGTGTCAATGTCATTGAAACGGTTTTATTTATATTTTCATATTGCACGTTGTGTCTCAGAACGGGAGTGAGTCAGAATACACTTTGGTTGACTGAAACAATACTGTGGATGCTGACTCGCTTTACATTATCAACAGTACCTGTCTTTTTTTTTTTTTTAAATGATATCAGTTTTAGTGCTTTTCTTTGGGCCTAAGATGAAATTTTAATTTGTAGAAAAATTTGTGGACGAAAAGGCTTTCGCTCCTGCAAGGATAAACCTACGTGAATAGCAAACGTGACAGACATCTCTTGAACAAATATTTCATTGCAAGATGTCATATGTAAATGGTCGTTTGCTGTAAAGGAAAGCCGCTGAATAGCTGCAAGCGTAAAGTGCAATAAAAATAATCTAGATTTAATCTATTATTATACGTATTAATACGTTAAGACTTTCGTCGGTGACAAGATATACCCGTTTAACTCAATGGCTAAAGTGTCGGGCGTTGTTACCAGAGGACGCAGGTTCAAATCCTTGCAGGTTAAAAGTTTTTTCGAGCATTTTTTAAAATCTTATTATGTATATTTTATAAGCAGATAGCAAGGAAATGTCAAATATCAATATTGTTTATGAAACTGTTTGTAGAAACAATGGATGAAAACTTTTTCACTGCTGCGGGAATTGAACCCGCGTCTTCTGGATTAGAGTCCAGATTCTTTAACCAATAAGCTAAATCTGAACGTACGTATTGTATCAATTTTTTTTTCGCATTTTAAGCAATGCTGGACACATCTATTGTTAACGTTATCTCCTTTACAGCAGACCAACAATGTCAAATATCATTTTGAAACAATAATTGGAATGAGAGATGCCATTGCTATTTTACATTCAAATTTTTATAGTGCTAATATCTACACTGCAACTTTAAAGTGCTAACGTTTCATAAATTAAAATTTGCAGTGTAGAGAAAATGGCAGGAAAGGTGAAAGAAAAGTTTTTCGCCGCTTCGGAGAAAACTTTTCTTCCAGAAAGTAAAATCGCCTATTGTTACATTTGGAACATCTACATTAAATTGCGTATTCCCTTTGTCACGGAGGAAATAGGTACAGGGGTTTGATGTACGGAAAACATTAAATCGAAAAATAGGCAGATGCTACTAGTGTAAATACCTGTGAACCATAACATCTATATAGCTTGGTATTTATAGCGGAGCAACTGTTAACGCGATTATTAAATTTTAATAGCGGATAACAAAATATACATGCCGTCATGCTTCTTTGGTACCTGTTGGTTTATTTTTATCGGCTTATTGCGAATGGATATGAGATAAACTCGAGTACAGTATCATTACGAGGCGCTCATTGTTTTATTGAGATAGTTTGAATCGCATAAGCGTATATGTATCGATCAGGTCTATTAATTAATGTAATGGGGGGTCATTTGCTTACTTCTTGTACGAAGCGTAATCGGATGGATGCCATCGGACGCTCCGAGTCGACGCGGTGATAACTTAACCATTTCTTGACCATTCAGGGAACTGGATAAGACGGAACGCCCAGTGGGCACAGATGAGACCGCATCTTCTGAAACATTCATAAGATTCATAAGAACGGGCAAGCGTCTATTTGAATAAAGATATCAAATCAAATATATTATATATATAATATATCTTTATTCAAATGATACATATTTGTGAAAACCCGTACTCTTACTGATATTAGATGCCAACTTGCGCAATGGCGCCTCTACAAATTGAACCCGAACAAATTTCCAGCAAATGTATCTGCTTATACCATTTTAAAAAATATATTTTTATTGAATGTATCAAATTCATCTATATGTGTGTTCATTTATTGTCGCGGTTGTAACGACACGCTGTATAATTTCTTATGTTAAATTTGACGATTCATAAGAACGGGCAAGCGTCTATTTGAATAAAGATATCAAATCAAATATATTATATATATAATATATCTTTATTCAAATGATACATATTTGTGAAAACCCGTACTCTTACTGATATTAGATGCCAACTTGCGCAATGGCGCCTCTACAAATTGAACCCGAACAAATTTCCAGCAAAATGTATCTGAATATATTTTTATATTTTTAAATTGTAAATTTTTGTAGATAAATGAATAAAAACTTTCGAAGCTACGGCATTCGAAACTGCAAAAAAAAGTAGAATTAAGTTTCCCTTGGGGGCAGAGAGTAGCACTAACAATAAAAATAAATCTGATTTCTGTTTTATGTTAAAAAAATTAGTTGACATATGAGCATAACCTGCAATCGATGGTGATAGCACTATTTATACAAGCAGAACGGTTTTATAATAAATACGACAAAATACGCAATTTATCAATATGCTCTTTAATAAATAACTACATACTATAGATAAACAGTCAGACACAAAAAAAACACTAAATTCGACAAACAATATTTTTTCAAAAATGGGGGCGAATCCACATCCTCTGGCGCAAGAGACTGTTTCGATATGCGCTACGCTAATGTTAGCATCGCAGTGCTTATCAAATGTCTACAAGCGAAATCGCGCTTCGAATTCCCGATTTGAATTCCACGGTCGTCCTCAAAAGCGATTTAAGGATAAAAAAACATAAACCCATACGAAAAACGCAGCAAAGAAACGTCGAGAAATTCCGATCTCCATTCGGTGCGGGCAACTTTTTCCGCCAACAGTATCGGCTCGCACACTATAATCGTTAGGCTCATCTTGCCTTTAACGTAATTCAATAGGATTTTCGAAACGCCGTGCGTCGTCGTCGATGCCAGCTCTAGTGTTCGCAATGCGACGTAGGAATTTATAATTGGCCATCTAGTTGTTAACGGGCTAATTACAACGATTCTCCTTGTGTCCGCGCCTTGATATTCCAATTGTGGGTAATCATCGAATCTTTTGATCGCATTCCGTTCGCTACTTACGCGCCCTTAGTCTATTGTGCACCGCTTTACGACGTCAGCAAATTGGTGGTTTCCGAATGCTGAAGATGACAATCTGTACTAGTTACTCCACGTCCCTTTTATTTTTAAATTCTGATGCCTTTACATCTGCGCCGGTGATAAATACAGCAATTGTGTTCACTGCATCTATTTGTAATGTGTTTTTTTTAAATATTCTAGTACGGTGGTAGCGAGTTGACTCTGTGAAGTTCTTACCAATTAAATGAATACAAACAAATTGTATTCATTTGATCGATACTTAGCTGCGGTAGAATTTTCACAATTTTCATTATCTAATTAATATATAAAATTAGCATTAGCTACACAATTACCGCGTGGTGGACTATGCCCTGATACCCTCTCTATAGAGGAGGCCTTTGCCCAGCAGTGGGACATGTATAGACTGTTACTTTACTTTACTTTTTTACACAATTACAGTAATATTGAAAATTTAGATATAGTTTACTTATTTTAAGTAAAAAGTACATTCTCTGGTGTTTCTGTCCATCCCCATTGGTGGTGGGGATTAGTTACAATCAGGTGAGCCACTTCATAGTTTGTCACGAATTCCATAAACAAGCAGAATCTCGAATCGAATCGAATCGAATATCCATCGCAAACTATTTGGACGTGCGTAAGAGGTGTAAGTTTGGATTTTCAAATATAGACTAGTATCACCGTTGCAGCCCAATAGATCCGCAGTCCACAACGTACTGTGTCGTCGCATCGCAAAGGAAAAACTACACCTCACTCTGCGCAGCTCGGAGCGATGTGAAGGCAAGCCGTTTGGAGAACAAATCTGTCCGCTTCAACTCCGAGGAGGATCGCTCCGAGCCGGAGACAAACGATTCTAATCTACACGATCGTTTAGCAAGCAATATGACCACTCAAGCGTCCCTTGAAGTCGACAATAAAGTGCACTTGGACATAGATGGATTCGACATTTACGAAGGCAATTTCAAAAACGTTTACAGGAAAAAGAAGTTCGGTTAGTACCTTTGTAGTTAGCTAGTTTGAATCATTTGGCGCAGCTTTCGAGTCAAGTATTAATGAACAAAAGATTTTGCTTTTCGTAACACTACACTTTAATTTGGATATTAATTTAATAGATTAAAAATGGAATTTATAAATTTTTATTTCTCTCTGTAAGACTTCAAGTATTTCATTAAATGCACCTTGACCAGACAAAAGCTTTTTATCGAGTAAGCTTTTGTCAATTGACTGTTCATATCCTTCACATGTCTACGACATCTTCTTCTCGTTCAGTTTAAAATTAAATTGCTTAAATAAAACATACGTAGTTATTAAATTTTAAGTTAATTAAAATTAACTATTATTATCATACAAAATTTCTTTACCAAACAGGTCGAAGCACAAAAGTAAGCACCGAGGACCCGTTAATTGCATGTGTTGGTGATAGAACACATCATGTTATAGAAAATTTGGACCCAAGCACGGTAATTATTTCGCCTATTTTATTTTTACCACTTGGAACAATTATGTTATACCTATTACATACACACAATAAAGGGGTTCATGTTTATGAACAATGTGTTGCAATTGTGCGTCTAAGTGATCCCTGTTACTCGGTTATTCGATTTCCCTTTCTTCGGCAACTTAGGTTTTTCTTTTTTTTACACGAGGAAAAAAGACAAAAAATCTGAAAGACACGAGTACCTCATGAATCTAGGTAAAACAAGATGGGATGAAGTTATCTGAGGCTTGTTGTACTAACTAGAACGTCTTCAGAAGTCAATTAAAATACGTTTGATATGACTCCAGTATTATTAATTGCGGTTTATTATACAGTGTAAATTAGTTAAAAGTTAAGTTTGACGTATACGTTTTTAAAGTGATAAGAGGTGCGTGCTTCGCATCATATCGTCATAGCGGAGAATACTGAACCGTTTTGTTGAGCTCTTAGTGAATTCGCAAGAGTTGCAATGTGTACTATCTGTTACGATATTAGTTGTATTTAGTTTAAAGGAAATATTAATTTATTAGATAAAAGTAAATGCTATGCTACTTCAAGCGAATTAGGATAATTTCTTTTCCTTAATGCTAGATGTTAAAATAAATAACAGTAAATAAATACTCAGTACCTATATTATTCCGATGTTCGTACTTCAGTGGTACTGTCGAATCGAAAGTGGTACCTATTACAAAATTGCTCTATCGAGAAGTGTTGTTCATTTCGACAGACATATTTCGTGAGCGTGTTCGCGGTATCCAGGGACCGTCGTGCGGGCTCTCTCTTGGCTACTGGCAAAGTCCGTCCGCGTACTTCAACAGCGAAGAGGCTTCGTGAGAACGTTCCTCTGAGGAACGAAATCAAAGGGAAATCCGTGTACTACTTTAAGGTGAGGTCACTCACCTTAATCACTACATAGTATAAAACAAATCGTCCCGCTCTCTGTCTGCCCCAATGTATGCTTAGATCTTTAAAACTACGCAATGGATCTCAATGCGTATTTTTTTACTAGATAAAGTGATTTAGAAGGAAGGTTTATATGTATAGTGCATTGCACCCGTGCGAAGCCAGGGCAGGCGGTCTATGATATAACTCTGACGTTAACTGATTTATTTAAAACCCACTTAGCCCAATCTTCAGCGCTTGCATTGATATAAGCACAAAAAGAAACACCTACAAACGCCCAAAACTGCTAGTTCACTTATGTATTGTCCAGGAAAACTGTGCAGAATAGCGTCCCTTTGAGTTTATGTAGGTAATTGCTTTATTTGTCAATATTATTTAACATAAATATCTTCACTAGCGTGTAATTTGCAGCTACCATCACACATGTTGTTTCACGGCAAGAGTCACTTTCACACATCTTGGTTCTCAGTATCTTGTTCTGGGTACATACAGGGTAATTTATAATTTAATTAAGACTGTTTAAATAGCTATGACAATTTTATCTGTTCAATGATTCTGATTTTATTTTATTACATCAAAAGACTTTTCAAGAAACTTCAAAACCGGAGACGACCCGAATGGCGTAGTGTGCCTGCCTCCTGCGCCAGAGGGTGTGGTTTCGATCCCCACAACTGGAAAAATATTGTGTGATGAACATAGTGTTTTTCTAGTGTCTGGGTTACTACAAATTATACAGTGTGTCTTTACCATCGAGACAATAAATGAACACACATATAGAGGATAACTTTTTAAAATTGTATTAAAGATTTACATTCTTCAAACATCAATATTTACCGAGTAATCGAATTTTCCACAACAAAGAATTTTAGAACATCCTTACGTATAAAACTTTAATGTAAAGTTCATTTGTAAAGGTCACAAAGCATATGAATGGGTTCAATGAATTTAAAGGAGACAAAACATACTGTTAGAAGGAGAGTCTTGTAATGCGGCGCTGTGGCAACGAATGAAAAAGTCTCTGAATGTATGAATCAGGCAGTTGTAGTTGTATAGGAAGTTACAAATTTTGTTTCTTTTTACTTAATTAGTTTGTTTGAAAAAAAATTTTTTATGATGATGAAGTTAATATTTTTTTATGATTATTGGCAAGTAGCGTTAGACGTGTGTTAATTTATTGTCGCGGTGGTAAAGACACGCTGTATATGTATAGTATGTATTTATTTACAAAAGAAGTATGTTTAAGTATTTTTATCAGTTTTCTAGTACCCATAGAGCTTATTACAATCTTTGCTTAGTTTGGGACTAGAGAATTTTGTGTAAAAATGTGTCCTAAAATATTCATTAATTTATTTTTTTGCTTCTCAATTGGACTGTATTTTTTATGTTAGTTACCTCAGAACTTTTGACTCAGTGATCTGATTTAGATGTTTTTTTTTTATTTGAAAGCTGGTGCTTCCCATGTGGTACCATATTTATTTTATTGGTATTGGATCTTGTGCTCCGGAGATACTTAGGGAAATCCTGAAAATCAATTATCGAGATATTTGAAGTCGGTTTTGTTTTTCGTTAATAAAAATTTGACTTGTTTGTATTATTTATTCAAATGAAAACAACTAACGACCCTTAGCCAAATAATACTGAGAATATAATATGTTATTAATATATTTATTCTGTTGTAGGCAGCTGTGGGAACAGGGGGTGGTATTTGGGTTGCCATATCGACATGTGGTGGCGCACTGGACGTCGAAGTGTTGGTAAAAGGAAAGCGTCTTTATATGGCAAAAAGCATAGGTACGTACCACGCTACATATAATAGCTTGTAAAACAGAAAATGCAAATTGCAGAAATGTATGTTTATTTTTCATTGAGTAAGTCGTTTCTTACACAAAATGATTATACTTCATAAGCATCTAAGTTTTTTTTCACTACCTGACAAAGTAAAATGAGTAGGTAGTCAGAAGTTTACTCACATTCAACAGTACATAACTACATAATATAAAACAAAGTCGTCCCGCTGTCTGTCCCTATGTACGCTTAGATCTTTAAAACTACGCAACGGATCTTGATGCGTTTTTTTTACTAGATAGAGTGATTCAAGAGGAAAGTTTATATGAATAATACATTGCACCGGGGCGGGTCGCTTTATATTTGAATAATTAAAACTTGACATTTTTAAACAGAACCTCACTCGAAATTTTACGTGCCGGCACCCCTACTGGCATCCTCCGTCCAAGAGACCAGCGACGAAGGGTCCGTGCAGTTCGACTCCAGTTCGGAAGAGACGAAGATACGTTACGTCATACGCGCGTTACCAAGCAAATGGAACAGAGACGAGTCCGTACATCTTGAGGTGCGTATTCAGAAAGACATAACTGAGGCAGGGCCACTCAGCAGCCTTGGCTGTTGTTCGAATGGGCAGGCTCGTCTGGGTAAGTACCACGATCCCACAGAAGACCGGCGTAAAGTGGAAGTAATAAATACTTTTCACGTTTCGTCTGGTGATTGAGGTAGCCGGAGCCCAATCTTCAAAAGGTTGTCAACGCATCTGTAACCCTCGGGTGTACCAGATGACCGTGGGAGTCGGTATTCACTTAACATCAGGTGAACTTTTCACTTAAAAAAAAAACAAACAGAAATGACCTGACTGTTGCGAATCGAATAGGTTTTGTTTAAGGCTGTCAAGGTGCTTAAGGCTGTCAAGCCATGGTTCGATAACTTAGACCAACCTCGAAAACTATTTAAGAACATGTAGATTTACACTCGGGTCCATTTATTCTGTCTGTGTAACTATTTTGTTATGTCTTAGGAAAGAAAAAAATGTATAACATCAGTCTTTATCGGTCCCTGGATTTATTTCTTTCAAAACAAATACATAACTGGCTTAAAAGGAAAGTTTTAACACTTTAAGATGCTATGCTTAACCAGAGTTTTAGTGCAAAGAGTTCAAAGATTTAACACAAAGTAAGTTTAAGCAAATTTAAGTCATCATTTAAGGACTCTGGGATTTTTATCGACAGTTTGGTAGTGAGTTAATCTTGACTGAAAGACTTTCTCAATCTCATTACAGTTATATTTCATGAGTAGTAACAAATATTATTTATTATATCCCATAGTTGATAGTTTCGACTACGCGCTGGGGTATAAGCATACCCGAACTCCTTGATGACGGTGGAATAGTGAGAGAACTAAGACCTCGACGTTCTTGCAAGTCTGTGGATGTGGCCTTCCTGCCAGCGACTCACAATGCAACGGATGTGATGAGGTGAGATCTGCGAGAGTCACCCTGTTGAACTAACTAGGAACCCAGTATATGATATTTATATCACACGAGATCTTCTTATTTACGAAAAAATCAACTATCATGGGATAGTAACCATTGTACCTAAATGAAACTAGGAAATATCTGCCAAAACAAATTATCTTAATTGAATAACCTGCATATTGAAGATGTTGTTTCCTTCAGACTGTTCACATATTAGAAACGATGTTTAAGTGTGTGCAAGATGAAACTACCTTTAGTGAGCCTCATAACTGAGGATAAATCGTGGTTAGAATTTTCGATGACGTAGGGCAGTTGCCAAGGTTCGGCGCCAGGCGTCGTGGGTTCGTGGGTTCGAGGGTCCTCGGGTGTCTCCTGGACAAAACCTACATTAGCTAAGCAAAAGAGAATAGTAGTGTTCAGAGTAGGCGATTTCGTGACTCCCACATGAGAGCTGTTGGCAACCATCGTGGGGTTTAAGTAGTTGCGAGTCTGACATATCCTGGCTGGATAGACTGCTCATAGACCTGGCTATCTCGTCTATTGAATAAAGAAATATTGACTTAAAAAATGGATTTAAAAAAATAGGTCTTAATCTGTGCAACGGGCGTTTTATACTATCAATGTTCCTTATTTTTAAAATATTTTTGTTCGAATATATGCCAATAAATATAAGGACACAAGTGTGAATTTATTGAGAGAAAAACATATTATGGCAATTAGTTTCAATGGAATTTAGCAATGCGTTCGGTTTCAGGTTTAGAGAATAATTATTTTATTATTTTTTATTTCACAGATATTGTATTGTAGCTCGAGAGAGTCCAAGCAAAGATAACGGATGCCTTTCAACGAAGAAGTCGTCGAAGGCGCAATGCGTTAATCATATGCAGAGACCACCGTAAGCCTTAAATACCAAATTATAATATATTAATTTACTTCTAGTGATAACAAACAAAATAAATAAAAAAGTAGCTTTTATATCCAATCTGAAGCGACCGTTGTACACACTTATTATAATATGTTGTTTTATGTGGTAAGTTACATAGGTTTAAGCCTCGGTTTACTTATTGACATGACTCTTACTAAACTGCAATGATCAAATTGCAAGCGTCAGTCAGAGGGTTTCAATAATTTCCTGACGACGGATACCAACGCTCAACGTGACGCTCGTGCAAACCTTAACACTCCCTATTATCGACTATTGTGGTGTCACTTCGAACTGAATGCAGATCAGCTAAACAAACTCGACCGACTTCTGAATAATCGAATTTGATCTTCAACCTTCGTAACTATGATTACGTGTCTTCATATCGCTCACAACTACATTGGTTACCTATTTGTCAAAGACTTTAAGAGCGCTGACCATACTTTATTCTTTCCTGGATTCTTCGCCCACTCTTTTTTACTTATCTCACAACTTTCAATACCGTTGTAATGTAAACAGTAAGAATCGTCTTTCGACGAATAATCGTCTTCTGTCATGTCCTTCGCACCGTTCTAATTTTATACACTCTCCTTTCTACATCCAATTTATTCTTGTATGGAATACGCTACCTATACAAATAAGGAATGGTTAAAAGGAAAAGTCCCAAGCACTTACTCAAAAAGTTATCGGCAGAATCATTCCACTTTTATATATAGAGTATGTTTATACATTTATGTATGAACTTGTGTATGTATGTACATACATGTTCACCTAATGGGTTGCAGACGCATCACCTCTCTTCTCACTCACCACACGAACCACGAAAGTAAAATGCTTTCAAGTCATGCCGGCCTTCTGTGAAGTCATGTTACTTCCCCGGATGAGCCGGCCCATTTTTGCAACAGCGGTAACTGCTGCATGACCATGGAAATGGTGCTGTCAATAGTATCATTATTAAACAAGAATAAAACGTATACTAGTTTTAATAATTTAGACATATATTTGGAATTTTAGATGACCCCAATGCTAGAGGTGGTATCAAATAGCCGAAGGGTAAACCTAATTAAGTTATCCAAATAGAAGCTCTCCAGTTTTTGGTTAATCCGATTAAGTAAGCTCATCAGCATAGGTTGTTATGATAACACCTGACCCTCGTCAATTCTAATAAGCTACTCGTATTTTATATTTCAAATATATCGTCAACGTGAAGTTATTCTTTTCTGAATTATTGTACACAAATTATAAACTTTCTCGGCCGTTACGAACAGGGGTAGGCAAAAAGCCTACCCCTGTTCGTTAAAACGATTAGATTTTGCACATTCCTCGATCAAAACATCGCTTTCCACACTAAATGAACAATCTCGTATATTTGGAACGTTCCCCGAAGAACACATAATGGGATTTCGGTAACGGTAACATGCGTACAAGAGCTGGCACTTTGTACGCATGTTACCGTTACTTTTGTCCTTGTCTTTCTTTCATTTAAATCGAACTAAAACAGTCAACACGGTCACGAATAATATACTAATACATCGGCAACAGAATGATTAATAAAACTATGCGTGTAAAACATTAAAATAAACCGTTGGAAGTAATTTTATATAATATGAATAGTTTTAAATCCAATTTTGCTTTCTGTGACATTTTTCTGAATATGCAAAAATAAGCAGCTAAAACTAACGTATGTTGCAGCACGCGAGTTATAATAAAGAAGGTGACGGGGCTAAAGTCTGGAAGGAAGTATGTCATTCAAGTGACAGCATCAAGCAAAGGTTCTTCGGTCCCGTACAACGTACTATACGTCGATACAAACGCTTCATGCAAAGACGAATAAAATAATACACCATGTATAGTAGATAAACAGTATTAGTGTTATAATTTTTCTTGTTGAAAATGAATTACCTTAGTGTGTTTTTGGTAATTTGTAATGTTCAGTCTTAAATAAAATGGAGGTTTATTAATGTATAAATTAAATTTACAAGAAAAATCATTTAACTGATGTTTCTCCATTCAGCGGTCCGCTTAGTCTTGATAAGACATACGACAATGTCATAAATTGTAATATCATCGGAAAGAAAACTTTGGAGTTTGTGTCACAAAGCATGTACTATCGTAAACTTTTCTAAAATTTGAAGATCCCTTAAGCAACACTTTAACGGATCTAAACTCTCATTTAAAAGAATAATTTGCTATCTCTTGGCACCATTTTTAAGCGTTACTAAAATGTTTTCTTAACCGTACTTATTATTATTATAAGCTTTTTGTGTTATTTCTTGTTCTAATACATATTTTTTAAATTACTTCACGTAAGGTCCCTAAGTATTAAGTTGCCATTTTAATGAGAAAAATGCATTTGAATGCAATACTATATTTAATAAAGTAATAGAAATGCAAGCTATTATTTTCGTGGCACTTTTACCGTTTTATTGAAAGTTCTTTGATATCTCTGCTATAAAAGTTATTAGAATCGATGTAATAGTTAAAGATATTCATCGCTTCATCGGTTTTGATAATTTTCAAATTTAAGGTAAAGATACGTTTTGTCAATTATCTTAAAAGCTCCTAGTAATTCCTATGTGGTTTAAGATGAACCCGTTTAAGTCATGTATTACAATTCCTTATTATTGACAATCGTCTCCCATCAACCTTCATTCAGATCTTCGATCATTCTTGAGATCTAAATTTCCCGAAAAGAACAGATCAAAATATGGTGATAGTCCTTATACATCGCTGATATTGCGTGCTGTATGTGCTGTAATATTGCATCGATAGACCTCTTCTGAAAAAAAAATTTCTTTGGTCATCGAAACAGCGATATGAAAGAAAAATCAAATGAGCAACTTTTTGTGCAAAGTGCCGGTATGTTGTAAAAATAAATAAATAAGTACATTGCATTGCGAAATAATAAGAATGTTTAATTTAAACTAGAATGAAAAATATCGATTATCAAACTAGCCAGTATTAAAAGTCGGCAATTATGATTAGGTACAACCAATATTTAATACATAATAATTTTTTATAACCTTTGAAGTGCATACTAATAAGCTTCTTAATTGTAAATAATATTTTATGAATTTTTGCTATTATTATTAAAAATTTATGTGTGTCCTGAAGTACGCACGTAAGAAGTTATACTTATTTAGCGTAAAAAAATAACTAAAGATGTTATCCCCTTTGTTCGTACTTATTGTTTGTAAAAAAGACTTTAAATGCAATTGATAGGTAACGGTTTAATTAAATAACTTGGAATTATAGGTAAATCTCAAAAAGTTATTATTGGTCGCTTTGCAACCAACATCACTATGTTTTGGCTGTTGGAGTGCGCCCGCATCGTAAAAATTTACTGTCATGATTTTTTCCAAACGCGCCAAAAGAAGTATAACTCCAAAAATCTTACTGTTCGTAATCCGACGCTATAATTTTAAATAAGTATAAATTAGACGTACGTATGTGGAGCAGAATGTAATTTAACCTTTTTGCTATTAATAGGCTCTAGCTGGTAGAAATTTAAATATTTACAATTTTGTTAGTTGATACAATATTGTACAAATATCGATTTTAAGGTATTTTTAAGGCCTCTCAGTATTTGCTTTAAAAATTAAAATTGTAAAGAATTTATATATTATCCTATGTAATTTATTCTATAGATTAGTGACAGTTCATTAGATTAAAATAGAATAGCAAATTCTGATAAAATAGTAAGGTAATTTGAAATAAAACGATAATTTATGTACCTTTTATGGCATTTAAACATTTATTAGGCATACATCAGCTTCTGTAAGTTCCTATTACTTTTATCTCAGAATGTAAAATTAAGATGTCTACGTAAAAATAATAAATTATAACTTATAAAGTGTCTGCATTATTTTATTAACACGTGACGATAAACTGCATGGCTCATTGAACAGTATAACACTTTTTTTTTAAAAAACCTTTTGAAGTAATTAGTCAGTCATTTGATTTTAAAATACGAGAGACTTGACTCAAAGATATGATTGGTACAGGTCCGATGCCATCTTGGTTTTTCGTGATCCAGAGAGTTTTGCAGCTGTTGATTGTGTAACAAAATGAGCAATCAGCACCACTATCAAATGAAGCCTGAAACTGGCGATCTTGATCTTTAACATCCTTACTAATATTATAAAGGCGAAAGTTTGTACGTATGATTAGATGTTTGTTACTCTTTCAAACAAAAACTACCGAATAGATTTTAATGAAACTTTACAATAATATAGCTTATACATCAGAATAACACATAGGCTATAATAATTGTATAAAGATTGAATGAATTGTGTGAATTGTCCAAAATATAGGTTTTGTAGCAAAACATCATCAAAGAATCATCAAATAAATAAAACATTTTTAAGTATGTACTGAGAAGTAACAGTCAACCTTAAACTGATTACTGAACTTAATCATTCTTACGGGATAAATTGTGGATAATATATACATTTTGGCCAAGTTTCTCCAAATTAGAATGCAATAAGCCATTATACTGTGGATATGACTAATATGCCATTGTTCAGCACGGGTAATTGCAGTACTTACACCATAACACCTTGCTAAAAATATAGAAACAAGCTAAGCAACAATTAATACTGCGGTTATCTAATAAAAATGTTAAAAGATAGTTATATGTATTTAATGATCTAATTAAAAAGATTTTATGCTCAGATCAGATATACAGTGGTGGACATATAATTAGAAACACTTCTTATGAATAAAGAAATATATAACTAGAACGTACAAATGTACGTAAAAAATATACACATTCTATAATTAATAATCATGCAATAATATAGCTAAAAGGTTATATTATTAAAAGGCCGGCAACGCATTTGTGAGCCCTCGGGTGTTGCAGGTGTTCATGGGCGGCGGTAATCACTTACCATCGGGTGAGCCTCCTGCTCATTTGCCCCTTTTCTCTATAAAAAAAAAATATAGCCACTCAAATGAAAAACTCATTAAATGCATAAAATTAACAACTATATTATGTTTTTTATATAATTATCTTATCTAATTATCTTACTTATAATTACAAAATGAGTCTTACACATGTAAGTTTATTTTCTGTTACTGGCCGCTTGGACGCCTAATTAGAAACATTTTAAAAAAGCATCCACAGCTTTTTCTTTTTTGAAAGTGAAGACTTATTTCTTGGCTTTTTCTATTATTTTGACAGCAATTCAAAATTTAATCTGAATTTTATTTTGTTCAAAATGGGCAAAAATAAAAGTTGTGATGCGTCAACTAGGCAAATAATTGTTAATTTACATATAGATCTTAAACGACTGTTGTTATATGATGAACCACCTACAGGAGCATTTTGATCGTTGTGGGCGCTTAGTCGAACGCACTCTATGCATGTTACATTAATTTGACAGTTGACGTTTATCTACATACATCAAATTTTCCTTTAATTGAAGTTTGTAGGCGAAATTTCCCTATATTCAGTAAATGATAACGTACATCTGTTATAAAATTTATTATGACGGCAAATGAAAAACATTTTTTCGGCCCACTAACGTTACATCAGAAGAGTACAACCCCCACAATATTTAAGTCCAATGAATCAATACAGTGTACATGCATCCTTTGCGACGAAAAGTTTACATTACCAGCTGGTGAACAACAATTGATAACACATCTGTTTATGGAACATCGCCTAGTAATTGCAGATGTTAATCAAATTGCCGACTTGAGTGCTTATCTTCGATACTGGAGGATGCGTTTAAAAGGTGAGTGTCATCTTTTATATGCCACATATATATTTCGTTAAGCAGTATGACAGCACCTATTTTTCATTATAATAAATTAATCTACCCATCAAAACACTAATACTTCAATTCGGCTAATATTCCGAATAGTACGTCTCGTTTTTCAAGCTAGAAAAAATTTCAATCTATAGAGAAATGTTAATAATTAAATATTATATAAGTAATAATCAATGAAAACCACTAGATTATGAGGAAAAAATTAACAAAGTTTTTAACCTTCGTTGTTAGGTTTTTTTTTTTATGACCACCCAGAAAACTTTAGTGTAACAGTACTTTTAGTATTTTTAAAGACTTTTTTAATAATGCGAAGGTTATAAAATATTGGAAAAGTGTGTGAATTCGTAAATTTATACATGTTGTCAAACACAAAATGGCGGATTTATTTAGTGAAAATAACAAGTTTTAAATATTTTTTTTTTATTAAGAGTAAGTGTTTGCTTTGGTTTTCACGGATGTAATATTTAATTATTAACATTTCTCTATCGATTAAAATTTTTTTCTAGCTTCAAAAACGAGACGTACTGTTCGGAATTTTTACCTTCAATTCCGTTGTATATTTTAGTATTTATACAGTATAATCTGTTTAATTTAAACATATCAGAATGATAAAATTTATTTGAATTTATATACCATGTCAATAAATAATTATGGTGACCTCTGATTGTTCATAGAATGATTGTGCTAAATTATTCTTAATGATAATAATAAATCAGTGTTAATATTTAATGTAATGACTTAATTGATCAGCTGTCTACAGCTATCTAATGTTTTGGTTTCACAGTAGACAACAGCGAAAAAGACCTCTATATCATATAAACTTTAGTCTAATTACTTCTTTGTAGTGATAATGTTTATTGAAATAAACCAAAATAAGACATTTTATTACCAGTTTGATAAAGGTTTTGTTATTGCAGAACCTAAAGGTAAGCAAACCAGAGACGTATTAGGGCACATCACTGGAGTTAAACCCCACATATTTACATCACTGGTACTATTTACATCATCTTTCTGGTATGAATTAGCATGAAACTTTAATAATTTTAATTTTTACCAATATGTTCATGTCTTTTGCCCAGTTTCCGAAAGGTCAATCAAAGCAGCAATTTCATAACATTATGTTAAAATGATTAGGTGTTAATCTCTTATTAAATTGCCTTGGGTTTCTCAAAGGTTCAGGAAAATTATGTAATAACTATTTGACGAATGATATTAATTTTAATTTTCTCTTTCTATTTTATATAAATATAAATATAAATCTCTTTTTAAAAAAAGTAAAAACTATGTCACTGTCATTTGTCAAGGTATCAATGTTGAGGAAAAGATTCTATTATTTAATATATCGTTTTGATTGGCAGTCTGTGATTCCAAAACTGGATATTTGTTTTGTTTTAAATTTAATTTTTATGAAAATAATAAACTTTATATATTATAAAAACAAAGATGACACTAAAGCTTTTTGAAATAGCATGTTTTTAATTAATAGAAAATAATTTGAATATCATAACATACAACATTTTAGTGAAATTAAGTGTATTTTCCCAATGAAAACTGAGATTTTATTAAAAAGAAATTTTAATGATTGATGGGCTAAATATACAGATTAGCTAATCAAACTTTGACAGCTCGAAGATCAAGGAAAAACACTTTGAAAAACTCTATTTTTTTAATCGCCCGTTAAGTCAAAATGAACATTGTTTTTAGGCATTCTAGCAACTCAAATCATGTCAAACAACAATTAACAAAAGATTAATTATAAATTCCTTTTGGAAACTCGGCATCATAGCCTTTTTATTAACCTTTTTATTTAGTGAAAATAAAGTTATGAAAGTAAATTTTTTAATTTGTATGATGTTGACTAAAATATTTAAAACACAAAAATATTAACTTTCTGCTCAGTTTCAGCAGTTGAAGCTTATCATCATTATATTTCGTCATTTTACAATTTTCACTCTTAATGAATCATTAATAAACCCAATTTGCTAATTAAGCATCTATTAAATTTCCTGAGTATATCTGTGAATATACATATTTGTCTGTCTCTATCACTTAATATGTGTTATATTTAAATTCATTATATTATTCCAGTTTTAATATCACTACAACATATAAACATAACATATATACAACATATAAAGGTAAACATTGTAGATTCTAAGAACTTACTTGTACTTTTTTTTCTTGTATTTATGTGAATACTACACATAACCATGCGAAGTCATCATTTTAGATGACTCTGTGGCGCAGATGCCAAGGTATTGGCTTCGGCTTCGGGGGTCTTGGTTCGACAACTATTTGTGTGACCCACAGTTAGTTGTTTCACATCTGGGTGTTTGTCTTTGTGCAATTTGTTTGTAAAACGTCCTTACAACACAGGATAATGTATCCTAAAGTGAGGGCAATGTTTTTAAAATAACATTATTTATTAAATAGATGTTATCATATTAAATCTCTTTTTGAATTCCTGATGTTCAAACACTTTACAGCATTTATACGCATGATATGTGGCCTGAATTGTATTAGGTGTCCTCATGTCAGGGTTACCCCAGTCAATGTCATCAATTATTTTATATGTATACAGGGAGATTTTTTAAGAAGTGCCCAAATTTACACAGGAGGTTCAGACTCGGTAGTATAATCGTTTATTGAAAGAAAAAACTATTTTTTTTCCAAAAAAAATGTCATTCTATTCCCTAAAAAACAGCGTGTTGACAATGCGGTAGTTATTCATAAATACCTAAATTTTACTGAGCTCGAACTTGTGTGCGTGCTAGTTATGAATGATCGCGCGTAAAATAAATGAGTTGCATTTAAATCACGCACTTTTTGAGACAAGTTCAAATGAATGTAATTAATTACTTACGAGTGATTTTACATATTTATCATATTTTATATAACATTAATTATGTCTAGAATTTAATTTAAAAAAATGGATACACTTAGAAAAGCCACCCTGTATAGGAGTTTTATGTTAGCTATGTGGTCCTTTTAATTTTTGGTAGTGATAAATCAATACTATCACTATCTTAACTGAGGCCAATTATTCTATGAAAAACAAAATTTTTGTTTGTAAATATTTGTAAGTTGATTTAGTTGACACAAGATTTAGTAACATGGCCGTTAAATATATTAAAAGTAGACTTATTTTTCTTTCTTCTGCCCTTATCCCACCTAGATGTGGTTGACACATGTGTAAATGTTCGGCATTGGCTGGGTTTTTACCAGGGGCTTGCCTGATGTCAACCAGATTCGGAACAATTTTATCTGTGGGTACCACAAATTGCCCTATGTGGAAATCGAACCTATGACCCCTCTCGCCAAAGCCGCTTAGCAACATCTCCATAGTAACCAAACCAATATGAATTTTAATAAAAACATACTTTATTGACATGATGGTAGTTGGAGAACCAGGTGGTTCAAATCATGTTTATCACTAAAGCTTAAACAGCATCCTTGTTGGGTCATATCACTACATAGTATAAAACAAAGTCGTCCCGCTGTCTGTCTGTTCCTATGTATGCTAATATCTTTAAAACTATGCAATGGAACTTGAATCGGTTTTTTTTTACTAGATAGAGTAATTCAAGAGGAACGTTTATATGTATGAAACATTGCACCCATGCAAAGCCTAGTTATATAAGAAGTCATTATATATAACTCTACTTCTGCATGTTATTTAAAATTAATTGTAAAGTCTATATAGTATACTTATACTACTACATTCAGCTTAAATACTAGTTTTATTTTACTAGGTGAAAAAATAATCTTTTTCAGCAAAATGGGGATGTAAACCTTAGTATTTCATATTAAACTAATATTGGTACCTCTAGATCATTCTGAAAAAAAAATCTTTGGTGTCTGGCAGATATGGATGAAAATGTATTCTAAAAGAGTTCAATCCTTTCATGTAAAGGTATGAAAGATATAAATTCTGTCTTGAAACTTGAAACTTTTGTCTCCTATATTACTTTAACTAAGTACCTATATAGTTTCCTTTTTATTGTGTATACTTAACTAGAGCTTGATTTTATCATGTACATATTTTATCAATCATGACTTCATTACAGATCATGCTCTGCCATACTTCTGTACGACAATGCTGTTGGACAATAAGCCAGATGGAACAAAATCAAAAGATGAAGAATATTACCTTTTAAGTGATGTTCTCCCAGAGGACAAGGAATTACGCTCAAATTTGCACCAAACAAAATTAGAGAAGCTGCTCGAAAGACATGCATTCGAACGTGAGGACAAAAATTACGTGCGAGAATGTCTGTTTTGTCGATTCCTCTCTAACACAACAAGAGCGAGCTACTTGAATCATTTATTCGAAAAACACAACTTCCACGTCGCTAAACCAGAAAATTTGATTTTTATTGACAACTTAGTTGATCTGGTAGCAGCCAAACTGGATCGCCTGCAATGCATTTACTGCGAAGGTGTATTTAAAGATAGAATAATTTTAAAAGAGCACATGCGGAAAAAAGGACATAAGCGAATCAACCCAGCCAACAAAGAATACGATAAATTCTTCTTAGTGAACTACCTAGGTGAAAAGCCAACGACATTGAAGCAAAACACAAAAAAATACTTTGCCAAAGTCCACAGCACAACGCCACGTAGTCTCGATGATTGTGACCAGGACTCCAATGCAGATAGTGATCCTGACTGGTCTGAATGGACAGAAGAGAATGGTCCCTTAATCACATGCCTCCTTTGTGAACACACTGAAATGGAATACGAGAGTATATTGGATCACATGGAACACAAGCATGAGTTTTCATTCACCAAAGCGACCATGGGCCTGGACTTTTATCACAAGGTTAAAATTGTGAATTTCATACGACGACAGATACATTTAAAGCAGTGCTTGTCATGTGATACTAAATTTGACGATGCAAAGAACCTTGAAAAGCATTTGAAGGAGACCAAACATTGGACTTTGCACAAGGAAAGATGGGACCAGCCCGAATATTACTTTCCAACATATGAGGATGACCTATTTTTATGTTTCATCCAAGATGACGATGAAAGCTGGTGGTCAGGAGATGAGAAAGAGGCAGAAGACAGAAACACAGTGTCTAATGATATTTCTAGAAAGATGGCTTTATCTGTGTTGGATGATTAAGTTATAGCTAATGTCATTTCAATTATATTAGTGTACTTTTCAGTATATCTTATGTAATGTTGTAGCAATAATTATGTTTATTAAGTAGTATGTTTTCTAACATGTGGCATGTATTCATGTATTTCAATTTAAGTTTAGTCATTTCACTTCATAATGTTTTATATATCTGATTACATTGGATTATGTTTCTATTGATGCATTTACTTTAGATCATGCAGTTAAGTAATGTCTAATTTAAGTTTATATTTGATTTCATTTCTCATCTCTTTGATAAAGTTGTTAGTTACAGATTAATAAAGAAAATATTGAAAATGCAAAAAAATATATTTAGTGGTAATTAAATTATATTTGCATGAAATAAAATTTTCTCGATTCTAAAGCTATTAAAGTTTTACAAATGTTTTTTCGATAAAATGTAACTGAAATGTATATTATAAAACTATATACTATAAAACATTTTTATCATGTCTTTAAATCCTGCATGCTATAAAATTCGAAACTATGTTATGCCTACAATTGTTTTTTCAGTTATGTTCTCATAGTAAAACCCCTTGTCTACGCTTTTAAGCAGGCACATTAGATATCCAAACCGTAATTAGATGACTCTTTTATAGTCTAATTTATGCAAAACATTTGGGCCTTTTTAAATGACAGTAGCTGCTTTTGAGTTATACAGAAAACTTTCTATTTAAAACTACGTTGTCTTCTTTGCACTGGGAGGTTCTTGATGATTTGTAGTCATTGTCTTATTATCAATGCACTTTCATTCATTTATGTAGATAACCTCCATATATCATACCCCTTTCATAAAAACGTCTAGTTATCACCAGATGAGATGGTAGTCCAGCATGGGCCAGTTTTACCCGTCACTGCCACCATACTAACTCTGGTTTCTGAAACAGTGATCATCGTAGATGTCAACTAATCAGCTGTCAAATGGCTTTTCAAATGTCATTTGAATGGCCAAAAGGATGGTTAAACTCTTTGAATTGATCATTCTGATCATTAAATCATTCTGGTTAACCATGAAACCGCACGTTAGATATCTATCTAGTTTGTTGATTGTACTATATGTTGTCCTGGCTTGCATGTATTTAACGCCCATTCTTAACATAGTGCATAATAAATTGAGCTGTATTGCCGATGGCTCTTAACACTTCTGACGACCTCGGCCCGTTAAAGGTTTAAATGCTTCTTAGGATTGAAAAGGAAAACCTTTAACAATACCAAAGAGTAAATTCCAAATAATCGTACTCCATTCTGGGCATGGACAATACAATGACGATCTAAGTAAGAATACCTGGCTGTTAGTAGTAACTAATTGTAGTCGGTCTTTAGTGTATGTGATTAATACGTAATTATTACCAATTCATCCAAGCATTAGCAAGGTACCATAGTATCTAACTATGGTTGCTACCGCTCTTGCTACTTACTCACGTATATTTTCTAAATGATGTGATACATTAACAAAAAAAAATGCTGAAATTTTATTCATATTTCATTACGTAATTGTTGTTTATATTGTCATCATAGTCAGGTAAAGAAATCTATGCAGTGAATTTAAAATTGCATGTGTTTAAAACACGCTTTATGCATTGGAAGATGACTTCTGTAAGTGTAATTAATCAATATAAATAATTATTAAAGTAAAATTATACTCTTAAACACAAAAGTTGTTGGTTTCTTGTTATCCAATTAGGCCAATGAAAATATCGATAAAATACGTAAGAATGTAATATCTGTAATGATAGATTATTCCCCTGGCACTGCGTAATTATAGTGTTACACTTCCGAAATTTCCTATGACAAGCTGCTATAACTTAGTACATGAAATAAATTTGGATTATACGGACTCTGTTATGTGACAGAGTAATGGTGCAGTGGTATATAAAAGCACTACTATTATGGTATCACGCGTAATGAAGACTAAAGCGTAAATGAAATAGCAATGATTTGGTTGTGTATTTTATACTCTAAAATATAATATTACTTATGAGAATGGTTTTGTGTTCGAATTTTTTCACTTGTGTATTTTACATATATATTAATATATTTAATAATTTTTTTATATGTATAATTAATTATTGCTAGTAGAAAAATGCGTCGTGAAAGGATTGCTATATAATTGTTAAAGGCGTTTTAGATTGTTATACGGAATTTTCAAATATTTTGTAATAAATAGAGCAACATACCTAAATTTAAAGCAAAGCGCCTGATTTCTAATCTTTAAAACTTTCTGTTTCTTAATAAAATCAAAAAAAACCTGCCATGTCGTTTTATTTGCTGTTTATTCGTTTATCATATAGATTTAAACTGAACGCAAGGAAAGTTAAATTATTAAAAAATATATAATTATAAAACGAAATATTTTTGAAAGATTACAGAAATTCTGTCACCCTTAACAGCTGTGAAGACCTGTCCTTTTGTGCAAAATGATTGACGAGCCAAAACAATTGAAAAGAAAAAAATATTCAAGTTGTAAATACCTATATTTCTCTCCATTCCGTTGATTTGCAGAATATGTAGATTTTACTCAACTGGCAATGTCGATTCATAGTCCTAAGGTCAGTCACGTAAAATGACGAAATTACGACAAGCAATAATGAAGCGCCTACCTTGAAGGGATTTGGAATTTATCCCGCTTTATTAAATAACGAAGCGAGTCAAATTCAAACAACACGTAAACATGCTTTATTGAAATTCGTTATTAGATGTTCGCAAAGAAAAATCATTGCTTCATCATTCTAAATGTAAACTCAATATCAATAGAACGTAGCGATACTAAAAATATATTTTTTCTTATTTCCATTCTTTGGAAAATACTTTTTTTTACAAAGAAGGCCATTGAATAATTTGAAATTCAATAAGGTTCTTTCTTCATCATTCGAGCCTTATTTTTAACTAGCTGCTGCCCACTACTACGTCTACGTAGAATAGGCTGAAGATGTAATATTAAGATAGAAAGACAGATACATAAAATATGTATATAAATTATAGCCTATGTCTTATTCTGATCTATAAGCTATATTATTGTAAAGTTTCATTAAAATCCATTCAGTAGTATTTGCGTGAAAGAGTAACAAACATCCATCCATACATACAAACTTTCGCGTTTATAATATTAGAAAGGATTTTTTTCGAGATCCAAAACAAATTATCGACTCATTTACCGCATGTTTTAAAACTGTTTTAAAGGGTTTACGCCTTTTAATTCAAACTAAAAGTTTTAGAGTTTCGAACGCTTTGCTCCATACATTACCACGGGATAACCTTACTACCGTGACATTTAAATTAAACGTAACGACGAAAACGTAAAAAAAATTTCGTATACTTATTATTTCCGTAATAAGTAATAAATAAAATGTTTGAGTAACATTGACACGATCCGAGAATCGATCCCATGACACCCAACGCCAAAATTTATTATATACATTGGGATTAAAAGCACTGAAAGGTTGTTAACCTTCTTGTAAGTACATTATACTTACTAAGTAAAGCATTTTTATTAGCATTCTACCCTTTAATTACGAACGATTTGATTTCGAAAAAGTTTGCGCAAACGATGCACATTCACTGATCAATCCATTTTTTTATATTTCCTTTAATGTGAAGTTATTATTATCATAAATAACTTCTCTTTAAAAAAGCCATACTGGTTCAAGAGCAATTAGAAAGCATATAGGTACAACACCGATGAAGAACTCTAACTGGGGCAAATCTGTCGCCTTAGGAACTTTAAAACTATTTCAGCCATAGACCGCTTTAATAAATACCACATAAAGTGGATTAACACCGTATGTACAGACGAGCAAATGAAATCAATTTTAAAGGAAGAAGTTTAGAATTTAGTTCGCTTAAAGTTCGCTATGAATTGCTATTTGCAAAGTTCGTATTCAGTTAGACTAGTCTTTTAATAGAAACTTAAACGTATATCTAATTTTAGAATATGAAGTTACTACAACATTGAACTGGTTGCCACTTTTTCGAATATAGTTAGAACTTAGATTTGGATACATATTTTATACAAAAAATATGTGTAGGTAGGTATATAGATGGAGTATTTTACTATTTATTGTAACGAAATAAGTGATATGCGAATATTAGAGACAAATATTGCGAATATTTGTCTCTAATATTCGCATATGACGTACACGAGACCTCTTGGCTCAGTTATCAATTACTATTAACTGTAAATTTCACCGCAAAATAAATGTTATAATAGCTCGGTCGGTCATCGGGCGGCCCCAAAACAGACGGCCGCGGTTCGTATCACGATCATTCACACACTTTTTTTTTTAACTTTTTCTATACCAGATCATTTTCTTTATTTTTTATTAAATTAATTTATTTACCAAAAAAACCGGTCCTCCAGGTACTGTGATATTCACAATGCAATTTGTATGATAAAAAGGAGCACTAGCTAGCTTCTAATTGGTCATTGCAAAAACAAAAACTTGACGTCTTTTAATGGCTATGGCTGTCAAATACTTTACGATGAACATTCGTTCAGTCCATAAAAGCTTACCTTGAACGAATAATAGTAAGGCGGAGAATTTTCTTCAAGTAAGCAAATTTCACTTAAATAGTGAAATCTTTAATGGTTTAATGGACTGAAAACATTATTCAATAAAGATATTAAAACACTGAAAAAGAATAGCATATTTCGATAAAAATTAAATGTAATGTTTCGATTATCAACGTTCATAAAATATACTATTTGAATGAATGAATGAAATGAAATACGCTTTATTGTACACCAGACAAAATTATAAAAATAACAAATAACAAACAACGTACAATTGGCGGCCTTATCGCTTAGAAGCGATTTCTTCCAGGCAACCATGTTACTGAGGATACAATGATCAGTGAGAAGAGAGTATTTTTTACACGGACTAGTAAAATAACAGGATCCGCGCCACGCTAATCGAAATTGAAGCGTCGTACGATCTACGTGTAGGTAAGCGATTTCAGAGATACTTGATGATTGAAAATTTGTG